AACATGTCACTTTAAGTCGAACACTTTGGGACAGAAACAACTTGCCCGCAAAGTACTGACAATCCTTTCTCAGTGTCTTTTGTTTGTTAAACACAAATAAATATATTGCGATATAAATATGTCATATATTATGTAAACATGTCACTTTAAGTCGAACACTTTGGGACAGAAACAACTTGCCCGCAAAGTACTGACAATCCTTTCTCAGTGTCTTTCGTTTGTTGAACACAAATAAATATATTGCGATATAAATGTCATATATTATGTACATATGTCACTTTACGTCGAACACTTTGGGACAGAAACAACTTGCCCGCAAAGTACTGGCAATCCTTAATCAGTCTCTTTCGTTTGTTGAACACAAATAAATATATTCTGCTATAAATATGTCATATATTATGTAAACATGTCACTTTTAGTCGAACACTTTGGGACAGAAACAACTTGCCCGCAAAGTACTGACAATCCTTAATCAGTCTCTTTCGTTTGTTGAACACAAATAAATGTAATGCGATATAAATATGTCATATATTATGTACACATATCACTTTAAGTCGAACACTTGGGACAGAACCAACTGGCTTCTTTAGCAGGTGCAAGCTGCAGCCCCACACATTTAAAATGGAACCAAACTGTTTTGCAGTTTTGATTGTCACAAGCTACAGTACCATGTTGTCCTTGCTCTCAGGTCCACGACAAAGGCACCTCAACTTAACAGCTGTTTTGCTCCTGCCCATCTTTGGTTTTGTTGAGGTGCGCTGTTTCTTGCGGAGATTTTCTGCTGGAACAAAACTGTCTTTGAGAGGCATCTGGCTTGAAACCTGAGTGAAGGCAGCACCAACGAGTTCAGGGAGACACACACACTCAAAAAATAGCTGTGCTTTTATGAGAACGGCACTCCACAGCTGGGGGTCAGGTGTAATATGCAACACGACACAGTCTTTTAAAGTCCCCAAAATGAAATCACAATACTGTGCTTCAGCCACAAAAATCTGAGTTTGGACTTGAATGTAATATGGACTTGATCTTTTTAGTTGAAGCTTGCCATTCACAACTGTCAAACAGAAGTCTTTGTCACTGCATGCTTCCTCTATTTTGTCCCGGTACTTATAAGGGCACTTTATCTCAATGCAGCCTCTTCCACAGCAAGCACACTGCACTAAGCCATCTGGTGATGCTCCAACCTAAGGAAACTTGGGGTTAATGATAAACCCGCACTATGTTATGTTCATGTCAGTATGATGTTTGGCATTGCACAGTTTATACTGTTTTCGCCCATTTTCCTCATTATTCCTTCCCCAAGCAGTAGCAGGAAACTTGTTTGCAGTAGTATTGGGGTAACACACTGCCCTAACTGTTGATAGTGCAGGATTGTTTAAGTCAGCCACAAAGACAGCATGCATATTAGATGCAGTAATTCTCCCAGCACGAAAGTGACACCAACTTGCACATCTGTGCTGCTTTCTTGTCTGTCCTTCGATGCTGTGTGCCTGCTCAGGTGAAACATCAGCCTTGCAGGTTAAGGTTTTGCAGTGCTGGCGCAAAACGGACAGTTCACTGCCGTCCATTTTTTTATCCCGCAGACTGTGCAGAGACTCAGGTGCTGAGAACGGCTGTACAGGGTCCACAAATGGCTCACAAGAAAAAGGCATGGTGGACAGAAAAGCAGCTTAAGGACATGCTTTTTCTATCTGCGTGAGGAAGGAGTCCCACTGTTCCTGTGTTGCAATGACAAACTTACACTTGTTCTCTGAAGTCCGTAATACTGGCACACTGGTAACGTCACCATTCCAAAGGCTGTTTAAAGACTTTCTTTTTGCCTTTGCTGAAGTAAAGTCTATTCTGTGTCCTGCCTCCGCTCCCACTTTTGTAATGTTCGTAGGTATCATCCAGTATGCAGGCTGGCCAGTCACAGTGGTTGTCTCCCTACATCGTACTACTGCCTCCAATTTAAAAAGTAGAGCTGCCACATGTGTGCATGTTTCTGCTATTCCTGCCATGCATGTGCAGTGACAACAGGATATAGCACCTGTTAAATTGATGATGGCCCAAGGCTTGAGTGGCGTGTCATTTAAACGCTGTGAGTGCAAGACCTGTATATAATACAAGAGTAAACATATTAATGTTGGATTCAATACACTTTTTAACAATGAACTCTGTAATGTATTTGACTAATAAAACACAATATTATGTTACTTTTTTGTTCTGTTTTGCTTTGCTTACATTTATTGCTCATATTTGTATAAATACTTTTGACACAAGCATCTGTGTAATGATTTGCAAATGTAAATATTACATTGTATTTAGAAATGTATTAGAAAACTGCAATACACATTTAGATTTCATTACTCAATTATAGTGTTCAAACTAAAGCAATGTATATTGAAAAATTATTGGAACACTATTAAACAGTAATACATTCTAATTATGTATTGCAATGTTCTAATATATAACAACAATCTAATATTTACATTTACAAATCATTACACAGATGCTTCTGTCGAAGGTATTTTTACAAATATGAGCGATAAATGTAATCAAAACAACGTTTATTTAAATATTCTGGACAAATACTATGACTTTTGTCATTTATATTATTATTATTTACAATATTATCAGCTTACCTTTGCTGTTACAACTGAGTTGTCACAGTCTGTCTGTAGAAATGAGTACAAATCCTGTACCCAGCCGTTTGTGAAGTGTCCATGGGCTTCTAAAGACTTGTAGTTTCTAAACTGTTCACTTGTGTATGCACTTACACCATAAACAAGGTAGTTTACGATGTCCAGGTAGGAAGTAGGAGGAAGCAACGAGGGGTCGGCACTCCATTGTTTTGAAGTAATTTCGTATGGATCGATGTCCTGAATAAAGGACAGTTTTTCAAAATAGCGATCTTTGGCATCTTGGTTAAGTTTGTTGCGGTACAACGTCCTCTCCGTTTTCGTGTGTTTTTCCATCCAGATGTATACAAAACTTGTACGACGCTGTTTTGTCTCTCGAGAGTTGTTGTGTTGTTCATAGAAACGATACCACCAAAATGGCGCACGTGTGACGTCACACACAACAAACGCACGTGACTGACAACGACCGATAACCAAGCAAAGAAGCAAGGGAAATGGGTCAACTTAAATACACACCGCTAATTACTTAAGTAATTAAGGGCGTATTCACACTATGGAATAAGAACCGTGCCCAGGCCCATTTTTTTGGATAATTTGAAAAGTGTGAGTGCTTTGAATCGGTGAATCAGGCTCAGGCACGGTTGGAAGAGGTGTGCCAGAGCGCGGTTCACTTGGGCTTTGGCGCGGTACGCTTGTAGTGTGAGTGCAAAGTGCGCCTGAGTCCGAAACTTAAGACGAAATGTGACTTTTACTGGACTTTTTCATATGGATTTATTAATAATTCTTAGTGTTTGCTATGGTTTTTTTCAGCACTTTGGTCAGTGCCAAACTGAAGTAAATGTGCTTTATAAATAAACTTTTACTTACTTACTTTACTTTAATGAACGCAAAATGTTGTAGATTATTAAAGACACAAACTCCTCACTGCACGACAGCTGCACCTTTAGCAAAACTCCTAATTCTTGAAGCATAAGGACTTTATGATTGTTTATGAGCCACGAAAGTGGCTGATGTGTTCGGCGAAATATTTGACGGCGTGTCACTGCATCCCAACGACTAAAATGATATAACTAAAGAAATCTCCAGTGCTGAGTGAGAGTGCTTCTTACAGAACAGAGCATCATTAATGACATAAGCATGCTCGGGTACGAATGCAATGTGAACGTGGGCCGTTTGGGGAGACAGGAGGGGGGACAAGCGTGCTTCGGCCCAGTTCAAGGCAACTGCACATAGTGTGAGTACTCCCTAGGTAGATAAGTGAATTCAATGAGGACCTTTAGTGGCAAAACAAAATCATTACATGACAAAACCCTGACAATGGCACCTTTTAAAAAAAAAAAGCTATATTTTATATATATTTTACCACACATACAAAACAAATTTCTATTCAGTGATTCTTGTTCATCAATCCATTTTACTGTTTTAAATTTAAGGTATGTAATAAAAAAATATTTTACATAAAGCTTTATTTGACCTTTTGTGTACAGCCTTTTTTTGTATTCCTTGAACAAAACTATCAATGCATTATATGTATTTAAAATAAATAAATGGTCAGGTTTACAAAGTGTCTGAACAAATAAACATCATATCTCACCTTTAGTGATAATAGTTGTTTTTCGCTTAATTTAAAAGGGGATCACAAATAATATTATACACTATTACAACCTGCTCTTAATTAAAAACAGACATTCTTTTTTCATTCTGCTAGATCAGAGATAGGCACACTAATCAAACGCAGTTAATCATTGTTTTTAAGATAACTAAAAAGCTACATGCCGGGGTGTTGGATTAAGGTTGTAGCTGCACCCTGCAGGATAGTAGCCCTCTGGAATGAAAGTTGTGGTATAGATCATCTTGTCAATATTAGAGCTTCTTTTACTGATAGCACAAATGTGTCCCAATATCAAACAATAAAATAGCAAAATAATTTAATGTTTGGGAATTTGTATAGTAGAACGATATACATCACATTTGTCCAATTCAGTTCCTGGAGGGCCAGATTTCTGCACAGCTTACTTTTAACCCTAATTGAACACACCTGATCAAACTAATTGTTCCTCTGGGTTGTTTAAAACCTACAGTAAGTGTATTGAAGCAGGGTTGATACTAAAAGCCAATGTTTCTCATGTAATAAGTCATAATTTCCTTTTAATTCAATATGGCTCATGGACAATGTAGGGAACTGTATCCTTGTGGTTAACTGGCTCTGCTTTTTATGACATCATGAGCAATACAGTTCTCTATTATTGATCAGTAGATCTTACCCACTGTGCTCTTAATGAAGTTGTAAATGTGTGTAAATCATCTAACAGCATAAAGTCTGTTGACTGTTAGCTTTTAATCACACTAATTTTAGCACATTTGTGCCATTTTTAATAGTTGTAGCCAGTCCAGAACCTGAAGAGCAGGAGGAGGCAGAGCTTACAGCTCCAACAGCCAAAAGGCCATGCCAGTGCTGCTGCCAGACCTACTCAGAGATCCTGAGCTTCCTGGAAAAACGCTTTGAAGCAGAACAGAGTCTGCGAGAGGAGGAGATGGCATTGAGAAGAGAGGAGCTAGAAATCCAGAGGAGTAAAATTGCACTGGATCGGGAGCGTCTTGGAGCAGAAAGAAAAGAACGGGAACGTCGATTTGAGCTGGAGAGTCAGGAAAGGCAGGTCATATTAGATTTGTTGAAAGAAAAGGTCTTAAAGAACGAACGGAACTCTGACTAAAATTAGATGTATTTATTTCCAGCAATTTATTTTGAACTCTTCTTTTAACTAATGCAATACCGGATTGATTTGGTCCCCTATATGAAATAATATAAATCCAATAAATTATAGTTGTCGTTGAATTGATACAATGAGCAAATGCCTAGTGAAATGCTTGAAATCTAGAGATTAATTTAACACTTTGCATTAGTAGCCACTGGAATGGCGGTCACACTTTACAATAAGGTTCATTGGTTAATGTTAATTAATGCATTTACTAACGGGAACAAACAATGAACAATACATTTACTACTGTATTCGTTCATGTTAGTTAACGTTAGTTAATGAAAATACAGTAGTTCATTGTTAGTTCATGTTAACTCATGGTGCATTAACTAATGTTAACAAGCACGGGCTTGGATGTTAATAATGCATTAGTAATTGTTCAATTATGATTAATAAATTCTGTACATGTGTTGTTAATGATGAGTTCATGTTAGTAAATGCATTAACTAATGAACCTTATTGTAAAGTGTTACCGGAATGGCTTAATTATAGATGTTGCAATGGCAGCACCAGTTTGACAGAAGCTTATAGAAAACATCACTTTTTGGTAGCACTACTGTGTCATAGATTGATTGAACTTAACTTTCCTAGGAAATAACTGATATATTGGTCCTTTTCAGAACAGGTATGTTACAATAAGCTTGCAAACAAATATTAACTTACAGTACTGACTACGTTGTGCTGAAAGCTTTGTGTAAGTAACCTATTACAATTGTTATTCAACCTGTCTCAGAACAAGTCTTGATAGTAAACCTCATTGTTAAAAAGAAATAAAAATAAAATAAATGTTAATCTTCTTGTACTTTTTAATAATTTAATGTCCTTTAATGAAAATGCAAGCATCTGTGTACAAATACAAAGAAAGTAAAGAGAAAGCTGCTAAGGGTTATTCTAAAACTCAAAGCAAACTGAACAGCAGTTTATTTTTTCCACATTTTTTCATGAAATCATTGTAAGCTTTGGCCCTAATATATCAAATCCATAATGTAATACAACTTTCCATGCTGTTGTTACAGCTGGCTTTACTGTGCAGTTAAACTATTCATTGAATTACAAGAAAATCGTTTGTGTCTCAAAACTGTAATAATGGCACTCAACATCATATGACACAAATATAAACTATTACCAATCTGTTTTGTACATTTTTAAAAAAAGTTTGTTCTTCTGCCGTATAATCTGATATACAGATGGTTACTATACAGATCAGGTTCCCTCTGCCCTGCAAAGTGCATTTGTTGCTGTATAATACCAAAGGATTCCAGTGCTATATTTTGAGTGTGTTTGTGTTCCCTTCTTTGAAAATGCTGTGGAACTGACTATGATTGCTAAATTCACTGTTTAATCATACGTCACAAGCTCAATAGTGCTGATGCAGTAATAGCACACTGAGGACACCTTCTGGTTATAAGGTAAAATGTAAAATAAAAGCATAATCAAAAAATAAATTTGGTGTGAACAAGCCTTATAAGACCTATTGACCTTAGTCTTGACGTACAAGTGGACGCAGCCATTGGTTCCTTTTTGGCTCAAAACTTCAGGTCTCAAAAAAAATCAGTGCACTACCACATTGCAGAATAAGGTTAATAGAGCTTATAAAATGACAAAAGTATTTAAGTTTGAATTGTGTAAATCTTAATTACTGACAAGGGGTATTTAAAAAAAGTTATTGAAACTGAATCTTATATACCATTTAAAATGGCTTTAAATGTAATTTTTATTTTAAACGTGACTATTGAACATTTGATATATTTATGACAACTTATTTTTTAAGGCAGATTTTTATAGATGCATTTCAGACAGATTTTTTTTGGCTAGACTGCAGATATACAGTTTGTAAAAATACTGTACCATATCAAGTTTTCAAGATGAAAAAAATTCATAACATCAAACAGTGTAGAGGAACTATGATGTCAATTTGTATGCAAAAACCTCGTAGCGAGTTGGCATTTTAGAAGTTCTGGTTTTCTCCCCATTTACTCTGGGTTTTTGCTTGAAAAATGTTCATGGCTAACAAAATCTCCAGATACTCTCACATTTTATTCTGACATAAAAAACACCAGTTACATCCCACTCTTGATATTTTAAAAATCAGTTGCGCTTCTTTAAAAAGACGTTTGCTAACAAGTTGCTAAATAGGGCAACAGGCAATGTCGAAAAAATTATACATTGAGCTGAAAGTACTGGGGCCTCATGTATTAACGCTGCGTTCGCACAAAAACTTTGCGTACGCCAGGTTTCATGCTCACGTTTGGATTTACTAATGCTGAATGAACATGGGAATGTCCGCTGGTCCACGCCAACGTCATGCCTGGCGTACGTGCATTTCTTCTGTCTGTTTTATTTCCATTGGTGACTCCTAGAGGCAGTTGTGTTAAATTGCACACTACAAAGTGTATTTGAGCTGTGCAATGGCAGCTGTATGAAACTGGTTCATCCGCATATAAGGTATATAAGGTTTCCATACCATGCAGTTGACCAGCCAAACATTAAAGAAGAAGAAGAGGGAAGAAGAATGAGTTCATCAGATGCTGGATTCGAACCGAGTTCATGCTCGAACGTGTCAAAACAGTTTGTCATGCGTTTTACGAGCTACGCCACTCATGCTGTTAAAGACACCACAAAATTTTACTTCTTTACATCATACTATTTCTTTTTTAATCCACTCAGTACGATGTTCAGACTCCACTGTGTTGACTGCATCAGCTAATCTCTCCCACTTTTTTTTTTCTTTTGTTATTAATTCCGGAGGACAAACTTGCAAATAACACCATTTTTCTCCAGTCTACCTCTGAAAGCAGCACCTCCAATTCACATTCTGTTCAAAGTTTCTTTTTTTGCTAGCTTTTGCCATTGCTTTTTTTTCGTTGGGTTTTGCCAAAGTAGAATCATTAGCATATTCATACGGGGGAGGAGGCAGGGAGGGGTTTTGCGCTCGTGCATGATGTGCTCAGTTTTACGTTTATTCGGATGTACAAAGACAATATGCGTGTGATTCGGCGTACGCAGTGTTTCATACATCTGAATTTTTTTTTTTTACAGCTTTGTTTGTACGCAATGTTTTAGTTTGATTTCAATGCAAGTCTTCGTACATGAGGCCCCTGGTTACTAACGCAACCCATGTTCCCTGAAGGAGGAATGTAGACGTGTGTCTTCTGACACAAATGGGAGATCATTAGATGACCAATCTCTATGAAAAGTAAAGACACACTGGACTTTTCTCCCCATACGACTTCCATTCATACGCATGCGAATGTGTCAGACCGGAAATGCTAGCTCAGGCAAAAAAGTTTCAGTTGAGTTGGAAACTTCAAGCTTGGTGAACTTTGACCTGCGAAATTGTAACACATGATTGCGTGAGATCTAATCATCTTGTTTAATCCCACCCCTTTTCACAGCAGCGTACTACAGAATTTCACAAGCTCAAACTCTAGTGTGATCACAGCTTAAGAAAACAGGCCAATGAAGGCCAATGAGTTGTCAGAATTCAGCTCTGCAGGTGCTGGTGATTAATCATTAGTAGAGTATATAACCAGTGCACACACAGCAAGCAGTTACACATATAAGCTGCGGTTACACTGGGCTTTTTCTCCCATAGACTTCAATTCATATGCACGCGAATGCGTCAGACCGGAAACGCGGGGTCATGCGTCAAGTTTCGCAGGGTGCTGCGGTGCAAAGTTTAAGCTTGGTAAACTCTGACCTGCGAAATCGCATCACTTGACTGCGTGAGACCAATCGAGGATCAAAACATGACCTCTCTGGACAGAAATTTAAAACATGGAGCAATTGCTCACTTTTTTAAATGTCTAATAAGCTCGTTTAATCCCACCCTCTTTTTGCAGCGCCGCACTACAGAATATCGCATGCTTAAACTCTAAAGCAGGTCGCACACCAGAAGCGCCGCACGGCGGCGCCACGCAGCACCATGCATTTTAGAATTCTAAACATAGGTTTCTATCAGGATTTTTCAGCCGCGCCACAGAGCGCCATCTGATTAGTTTCATGTTAAATATCATTCGAATGTGCGCGTCTGGTGTGCGATACTTTAAACTGTCATGTGCGCGCCGAGCAGCGCTTCTGGTGTGCGACCTGCTTAATGTGACCGCAGCTTAAGCCACTGAAGAGCTGATCGCTCAGCTATCAGCTGGAGACCCAGCTACTGTGGCATAGGAGCCACACATATCTGTTCTCTCTTCTTGGGTGAAGTCACATGCCGTTTACCATTACCGGGAGCTGTGGAGGAGGTGGCCTCCAGCACCGCTGTCATTCCTTTGACGTGGCCCCCAGGCGGCCAGACTGCTGGAAGTCTACAACCTGCACCAGCACCCCTATCCAGACCATGGTCCAGCATCAAAGCTCTGATTCGTGGCATATGCCGAAACGTCGTGGTGCGCGAGGTGAAAAGTTTTTTTTTTTGCTTTGGGGCACCAACAGCTCTTAGTTAAAACATAGTTAGGTTCAATCTATTAGTCCAATGACGGAACTAACAATATGGGTGAAGGTTAAATGCATGTAAGCCTTTTTAGCCAATGAGAAAATAAATATTTTTATTAGTTAATTTATTTGTTTCCAGCTCTGAATTTAATCTCACTCCAATTTATAATTATTTAAATTTAGATTTATCAAATTCAAGCTGATCACCCCATAGGTTGTGATTAGGTCTAATTTAGATTGAGTAACCTAATAAATCCTTATTTTCAGTTAATGGTTCATCGTTTACCCGAAGTCGCATAAGAGTCAGTATGCTGGCCAATTACATCTGCTCACGGACACAACCTCTCCAGTTCTGGTACTTAGATAGAGGATATTACTGTAAGCTAATTTCCTTTAAATAATATTAGGCCTCCCCATGCTTGCTCATACATAAAGAAAGTTTGATTTAGCCACTAGATTATATCATACTAAGTCAGTAATTGCCAGAAATCAACAGGTCTCTAATGTTGTGCCTAGAGCTGGGCGATATGGCAAAAGAAATTATCACGATAGTCTTTTTTCATATCGGTCATTATCAATATTTATTTGAATCAATTGTATAGGATTTTTAGCATACCAATCC